GGAGTTGTGCCGCCAGCAGAAAACAGATTAGGTCTGCAATAGAGAAATACTGAGAGAATTCACAGTGACCTGTTCTGTGGCCGTTTTGGAGCAGTATGGTGTATGATGTTGGGTGTCAGGTGTGGAACAAAATAGTGACTGTTTCAGGATGGTGCTAAAATAAAAGCAAATCATGGATCGAGTTATGCCTGAGTGTAAACACTCAAACTTAGCTGTAGCAAACAGCACGCTCACATTTATGCCAGCTAGGGTTACAATTTGGCACTTCATTAGAGTATGAAGAGGTCACTTATTGTTTCAAAGAGGTTTTTCCTGAAAGGAAGGCAACCAGTGCTGAAGAGCTGAAAGCACTGAGCTGTGCTCGTTTGCATTAAAAATAGGTATTTTGGGCCAGCGGAGCTTCAAAATAAGCAAATTCTCAAACCAAACAGTTTTCCTTTCGGTAGCCGAAAAGGAAACCGCACATCCAGGAGGAATGTAGATCAAAGCAAACCCTGCAAATGATGCAGAAACACATAAAATAACAAACAAGGCTGGTGGGAAGAGGGGAGCTTTTGTAAGTAGATAGGTCTATTCATATTACACTGAAACCAAATCCAAGATTGCTAAAGAAGATACTTGAGAGGAGCATATAAGGCTATAGGTTTTTTCCTCAGAGGATTTTTTTCAGCCTGTTTTTGCATGCCTATTGTATTTGCAAAGTGACATATAAGGGGCATTCTCAGCACTGAGATCTCACTGATACCAGCGTTTGCCTTTCGCCACTCTATCTTATCTCTTACTTTCTTTCTTCTGCTACCTTCCCTGAGCCCGCACCTCCATAAGTCTGTGGCAAAACATCTGTTTGTGTTACTGCTTGTCCTTGATGCTGTTAAAACACATCATCAAGTCATCTTCCATAACTAAACTTCCAATATTTAGGTAGTTTAACTTTCATACTTAAACAAATGATACCCAATTTACATAAGTATTAGCTGGTTAAATTGGAATGTATTTGTTTAATGTGTTATATATGGGAGTAAAAATCTACCAGAGAACTCTTTTAAATAGAAAACATAAAATTATTGCTAAATACTTTAACCTCATTTCACTTATGTTTAAATAAACACATTGCTGCAATAATTCATGCTTGTAAAAACTGAACTGATAGAGATTTGGTAATTGTTGCAGTGAAGTTGCTCTTTAGCTTGATGACTTGTCCTTTTCTTGGATGCAGCTTCATGAAGTGATGGACGTATAAATCCTGAACTTCTCAGGGTTTTGATTCACAGAATTCTTGATACAAAAGGAAGTACCTTGCAAAAGGGGAAGAGTCCTTTGTCCAACAGCCATGACAAAGTTGGGATTCCTGGGATAGCCATGTTCTTTTCGGTGGGTCCTGCAGACCTATCCCCATCTCTTATGTCCTGCTGTCTCATTGCATGTGCCTCTTCAGCTGAAGAAGCTGTATGTGTGCCACCCACCTCACATTTGGTAAGAAACTACTCTTGTGCAGTAGGTGATTTATTTCAGCTAGGCCAAAAAGTAAGAAGGGAACCCTTCTGTATGAACTACATTTCTTTATAGAAAATTGAACATGCCTCTTACCTCTCACCCCTTTCTCTCACTTCTGCAGCCACACACCTCTTGAAAACACCCAGGTTCACATTGCCTAATGATGGGGAAGAGCAGCAGGTTCCCTGAGGCACTGTGTAGGTGAGGACAGGACACAAACGAGATTGACTCTATCTTGCATACTTGGAAAGGAGTTGGAAAGGCTTTTTTTTTTTTTTTTTTTTTCCGAACTGCAAAGCAGCCCCTTCTCTCTCTGCTTTCCACAGCAGCCTCCCATCAGGAAGGGCAGGCCCCACTGCACCCATCCTGTACAGGTCATAGGATATACATTGGGCTCACTTGAGCACCTTCCCATCTTCCCCTTGGCTGTGCACAAAGAGATGCCTGCTCATTGAGCAAAGGGCAGTTTATTGTAGAAACGCCATACAATTGAACAGTAATGTTACCTGACCCTTGGGTGAGTAGAAAGCAGCATGGTTCACTGTCATCAAGGAAGTGTGACCTGTTCAACACATTTATTTCAACTGTGCCTTATCCCTTTATACCACTTGGGGATTTGGCTTAATTTGCAGAGGAACGAAGTGCTCAGTTCCACAAACTGCTCTTTCGTTTCTTTTCCTGCAGGAAGCTATACGCTGTTAACAGCAGGCAGAAACTGAGGACCAACAGTACTTCTTTGGCTGGCACCTCCGAGCAGCGAGCAAAACCTTTTCAGATTTCCCTTATGTAGAAAAACTCTTTTTTTTTGCATCCAGAGTGTTAATAGGAAGCTAGCTAGCCCACTGGAAAAAAAAAAAAAATGGCATCGATGGCATCGCTGTACAATTTTGTTAAAGTTTTAAAGGGAAGAGGGAAACTTGCAACCATGTTCTTAGTTAATTTAAGTCAATGCTACTCTTCTGAAGACTCTCACTGGGAAAGCTAAGGGGTAGGCTGAAAGAAATGTTTTCCCACTGTACCAATACGGGCTTTTTTGTGCCAGAAGATTTCCTCCTGCAATGTTTGATTGCTTTGGGGCTACACTGGAATTGTTTGTCAGTTCTTTAAACATTTTTAACATGACCATTTTTAGCCTGACTGGAGACTAGTGAAAGTTTGAGCCCTGTGTCCGGGGAAGCTCATCTCTTTATGAGCAGTGGACCAGTCAATAGGCTCTGTGTATCAGATCATTAGACAAAGGGGCAGCCTGCAGCAAAAGGGATGTTTGTACTGTGGCCAGAGCAGGCTCTCTTAAAAATAATAGCCAAGAGTAAACACTATCAATTAACAAGTTAGATGCTTGTAAAAAAATGTCAGCCCGTTTGCTAACCCATTAAGAAGGGAAATAAGACTTGACAGTTCGCTATACTGTGATTCTAAGCATGATGTTGCCTCTTTAGAAAGAGTGCTTATGGGGTTGTGGAGGCAGGGTGAGTGCACTGCAGTCACTGCTGGCAAGCGATTGGGAAGATTTGGTGCTGTACGGAAGTTTGTGCATGGCTTAGTTTTATTTTTTTTTCAGCCTATCTACAAGGGGAGCAATGACTTGTGCTGACAAAATGCAAAGCGGTGGGACCCAAACTAGGTAGTACAGAAGTACTGGAAGTAAAGAAGAAAATTACGTTGTGATCTCCTTTCTTCTTGGTAGATACGTGAGCAGCAGAATATCTTCAGCTCTAAGGAGAAAGAATCTTTTCAAAAGCAGAGCTTTAAAATGACTCCTACTTTAGCACTGGGCAACATAATTCTTTAAAACGGGACCGAATATCCCAGCCTTCTCAAAATACTCTTCCATATTAATTTCTGTGAGGCACCATTAGATTTTCAGTCATCACTCTGCAGCCAGTGGCTAACTCAGATTCACTAGCGTGATCCTAGTCACCAGAAGGGAAGATTAAAAATTTATTGATGGAAGAAACAGAATGGGAAGAGACTGTTAGTGTGAAAGTGCTCAAAAATACCCCAACAAATTGCTATTTGCTAGTAGTGATTGCCCTAGTTTGCAAAGAAACCCCGCTATCCATATTAGTGTGTAATATTATTAGTGTGTATTTTTATTGCATTGTACTGAAAGGGAGAGTTAAGAGCAGCCTAGTGTGGGGTAGAGCTTCCAAGAGCACTGTACTTGGACTGATGTTATGTATTAGGGCAATCAGGAGAGATGGGAATCGTGGAAGGATGATGTGGGAAGATGCAGAGTGGATTAGGGCCGCAGGAAATGAAAGCTTCCTAGAGACAAGGCATGCCTGAGCCTTCACATATCAGAGCAGTAAGTGAAATAATAATAAGGTGAGTGTGCAGAAAGAGCAGTTGGCTAGGGCCAAGAAAGATACCGCCAGGGCTTAGGGGAACAATACTAGGAGGGACACAGAAATAAGAGACATTGTCACTTAGCGGAGGCAGGTCCTGGACAGAAAGAAGGCAATTTTTGACTACCTGGCTCAGCTGAAAACCTTGCATGAATTTTTGGGGCAGCTGAACCTGACAGGGGGCAATACTCCAATGAAGTGATACGCTGCACACAGCTTACCCTGGGGAAGGAAGGGCTGTGTCTGTCTCAAAATTTGTGTGGAAAATGCATCTCTTTCTGTTTATATCGGACTCCTGCACTTTGGAAGGGGAGGTGACTCTTCTGCAACTTCACCACATGGGTAGGTTACTTCAGCCACTCCAGGCTGAAGAGACCTTGATGGAAGACACAGAGTAGACCAGCCCTAAATCAAACTGTTTGTCTGAGCAATTTGATACAGAGCATTTCAAAGCCACTAGAACATCCCTCATTGAGTCCAGCAGTTCTTATACTGTCCCACATATTTTGCTAACCTGAGATATATGGCAAGTCACACAGGTGGATTTTTTTTTAAGGACAACAAATTGCTCGGTGAAGGCCTTGTGCAGAGATGAAGAGTGAAAAACTAACTCCTGTCAGACAATTTCCAGTGTGGGGGTTGTGCTAGATGATTATGGGGTTGGTAATTGGTATCAGAGATTAACTATATTAACCAAGAGACAATCTCTAGTCCATATAACTGAGTTTAAGTAGTTGGGATGGAACAAGGGCATAGAGGAATACAGTGACTTAAAATGCATAAGAAAGCCAGCTTAGGAAGAAGCACTTAGCTCAAATCTTTCAAAAAAACAACCCAGTCAGGAAATGAAATATATCCTTTAACATGAAACTGAAGACATCAATTGTTTGTGGTTCTTTTGCTGAAATACCTTGCCATGTCTCTCATGGACTGACTACAAGGCCAGTCTTTCATTCTGATGACTCCACCAGTGTCGATAAACATAGTTTGAAAACGGACCTAAAAGGACCTGTGGGATTTTTATTTTACACATTTTTCATTAAGGCGCAGCTTTCTAAAACATGATTAAATACTTGATAACTTTTACCACTGTTAAAACTGATTAGTCTGTAATTTATTTATTTTTTTTAAATAAATAAAAAAAAAAAATGCCCCCAAACTTCCAGAAGATCAAAAGCCTGCAAAAAAGGTTCTTAAACATTAGAAACAGCTGCTTTTGCATAACTATTAATACATCCATTCCTTCTAGTACAATGTAGTTTCTTCACAGTAGCTGTTACGTATGTTAGCAAAGGAATTGTATTCTCACTCAAAATAGTCATTGGCTTTTTGTCAACCAAAAGCTATAATCAGAATAATTTTCATATAAGTAGCTCTTTCACAATGAAGGTCTTGCATGTAAGAGATTTCTAACAACTCTGAGCTGGAAAGGGACTGTTTTTAAAAAAGGAAAATGCTATTAATATCACTGTATTATAGAGAAGTCAGTTACATAAGAAGGAAAGCAATAGAGAAGCACAAACACTGTCAGACTCGATAAGATAGCCAGAGTGATACCATTTGTCAGTACTGGTCACTACAAGGAGCAAAGAAATTAGAAAGCAATTATTGTTTGCCTAAAGGAAACAAAATATCCTGAGCCTTTGTTTAGTAGTTTGGATCAAAGTCATGGGGCCATTTAGTTACATCTTGTCAAAAATAACTTACAATATTCTCAATCAAAAACACTGCTTCATTTTTAAATGCAGCAGTTTTTGTTTCCCTGTTATTCTTCTGGCAGACAGTTCCACAGATCAGTTGTTCATATTGAGGCTTTTCGTAAATCAGTTTCAACTGTTATCTGTCTACTTCATTGGCAGGACTTTTGTCTTTTGTTATGAGAGAGGCTGAAAAGGACATAACTCACTTTCTGTATGTTTGATCTGTTATGTAACTCTCAACTCATTTACATTTACCATAGATAATCCTGGTGTTTTCAACCTATTTTTTCCAGATACTTCTTTAAGCTTCTAAGCATTTCACTTAGCCATCCCTGGATCCCTCTTGTTTCTGCTCTCTCATCTTCTTCCTGTAGATCCACTATTTCAGACGTGGAACTTATATAGTGACACTATTGTAATAGGACAGTAATAAAAATTATACTGAATGCCCATATATTATAAACAAATGTCTAGATGAGATTTTACAACACTTATCTCATCCCAAGGCTCTCATTTTTTAGATTTTGTACTATCAATGTAGAAGTACAATGAATTCTCTTGCTAAGAAAGCCATGGCTTGGCAGAGCCAGTTGGCATACGATACTGCTACTACTTAATAATTAGAGCTGAGTGAAAATAAAGGTATTTAAATTACAGGAGAGCTGCAGCACTGAACTTGACTTTTCAGCCTGCGCATAAGCATTCCTATTGCTGCTGGAGGTATATTGATAGTGACTCATAGCACGGCGGTACCGAAAATCTGTTGGTTCAGGGCCTGTGGTCTTCTACAGGATGATCACATTACAATTTGAATGTTTCTTGTACATCGGGGTATCTTTAATTCTGGAGTGTGTGTTTTAGGAAGGCTTGCACACTCCAGATTTCAGAGTATCTTGCTGCTGACACTGAGCATTAGGCAGTGTGAATGGTTCATTTCAAGTGATCTTGGTCTGTGGTGAAAAGAACAGGAACAAGTCCAGTACACACAGAACAACCGGCTTTTGTTTATTGAGTCAAAGCTGTAAAACCATAAAGGCAGCAAAAGCTGAAATCAAGGGAAATAGAAATAATGGAGTGGGAAGGGAAAAGGAGAATCAACATTTGAGGGTTCTTCTGTATGAAACAGAGATCTGGTTTTTGGTGATGGGGGAAAGGCATGAGTCACTCTTCCAAAACTTTGCTTGATGCAACAGCCTCTTTATTTTAGTTTGGATTTGAGGCTCTTGGAGGTGAAGAGATTTTTTATCAGCAAGAATTCACCGACAGCATGCCAACCTCTGTACTTAAAGCCTGATTCATCAAAGCCTAAAAGTAGCCTTACATGATAGTAAATGTGCTCCTAGATTGCCAGCTGAAGCTAAGGTCCTCCCTCCTAAGATGCGGGAATCACTTTCTTAGATTTTATATTTAAAATAAAATAAAAATAAAAGCTTTCAGTGTTCCTGATCAAGTCTTCCTGCTCTCACTGAAAGAGAGATTTTTCCTTGAAAAATCTTTGGTCTTATAGAACATTTTAATACAGATCCTCTTAGGAAATGTGATTGCTGTGGGGCATCTGGCTTGCAATCAGTCAGTCCTTTCAGAGCCTAACTCTTCCGTCCTGACATCGGCCCAGAGCATGCCCAGTGATGTCCCGGGGAGCCATGCGCCTTATATGTCCACTGCAACTTGCCGGAGGTCAAGCAGGGGGAAGCCAAAGGATTTGTGCAAATGGTGGAGCCAAGCAGAAGGTCAGGGATGGCATTTTGTGGCCATGGGAAAGAGACAGTTCTTTCTCCTGGGTCAGGATGAGTCTCTGTCAGTGCTGAGTCTCAAAGGATCATGGGGCTTCCATGGCTGGCACCCAGTGTTCTTAATTTTGTGGTGAATAAGAGCCCTGAAAGCACATAATTTAGTCCGTCTGAAGATAATTGTTGAAATAAATCAGTCTCTTGTTTAAGGAATAAATCTGCAGCAAGTATCAAGAGAGCCTAAAGCACTGCTGATTTTAATCATTACTCTACGTGGGGAAGTGCCTATACTGCTTAGCGTTTCCAAACCAGCAGCGATACTATTAAAAAATCAAGAGTGGATTGAGAAGCTGTCACAATTCAAATTAAAGGGTTTGGGGGATTACTGAATTCACAGCTGAAAGAGGAGAGGCCTGGCGAGCCCTGACCCCACAGTCCACACCAGGTGTAGCTGACTAGCACCCCACACTTCTCTTTGCTGCTTCAGTTTCCACATCTGAACACTGGGATATTGTGACCAGCATTCCCGTGTGTGTTGCCCTTCTGGAGAGGAGAACCGCTCCATGGCAGATGGATATTTTTACTTCTTGGCATTGATGGGCTGTTGCTGGAAGATGGGCTGGGTATGACAGGAAATGTGCTGTGGTGTGTCAGGCTGTCCCGCAGAGAGCGATTCCAGGCAATGGCCGGTGATTTTTATTGGGCTGCCCTGTGGTCATCCATTCAGCTCCCCAGGGCTCCGTTGGTTGGCTCCAGTGATTTTCTCATTCAATAGCATGCCCCGCTTTGCTAGGGGTTTTTTAGGGCTTGGCTGGTCAACAAGGGATTTTTTGGGGTGTGAAAAGGATCAGTTTGGGTGAGATGGGTTCAGCAAAGTAGAAATTACACTGGTCAGCTGTGGCTGGAGAGTCACGCTTCTCCAAAACTCCCCAGCCTTGATGTGGGAGCTGCACTGTGACAGAGAAGGCTCCCTATGGAGGCAGGATGTGGGCTGTGATAGCCACTGAGGCAATCTGTCACCATCCATGGGCAAGGTAGGACTTAGCAGACTAGAACTTCTTTTTGAGGCTTCATGGTTGAGTTAGGACTGGGCAATTCGGTTGCTTCTATGGCAGTTCTCTGGATACTGGCTGGTTAAAAGGCAGATCCTTGTTCAGCTAGTTTATAATCTTTTTGTTAAATTAAATGGCAAAGATATTGGGCCATTTATATAAAAATGATGAATCCTGGATGGATTGTAGGCAGGAGATAGGATTGTCGCTGCTGCTTACCTGTATTCTTCCTGGCCCCTGGTGGAACCCCCAGAGAGACCTGGTGATCTCGATATTCTCCCATGTTTTTGATCATTTCTCCCTTTTCTTGAAGAGCACATGGAGTACTTGTTTCTGGAGCTTTCCTGGAGGAACAGACACTGCTTTTGCCTTTTCCCCTGCAGCCAACCCCATTTATCTCCAAACTGGGAAGCACTCGCTACCCTATTCGAACTGATTGTAGTGTTAAAAAAAATAAATTCATACAGCTTTTGGCTCAGCACCATTTGAATAATTCTAAGTGGCTGGGAATTAATTCACTGTGCCAAGTTGCTTTGAAGAAGAGATCTAGCTACATTTTATTTTGGTTATATTTTGTATGAAATGTGTGGGGTTATTGGAACCAGATATATTGACTTTGCACTAGGCTGGTGTGCACCAGTTATAAATGTGTCGCCTGGCATATGGAATCAAAACCGAGGGTTTTCTCAGACACAGATGCCACCCAGCTCCCTCAATTCTTGGTATCCTGCTCCTTGGTACACTACCATGTCTAATAGATACAAAAACACAGGGTCCCAGTGCTATTTCCAGTGACTCATCCATTTTAGAGATCTTAGAACTTGCTTTTGTCTGAAGCAAAATATTTGTCGCATGTTATTAGAAGGGGCCAGAAGCCACTTTACTGTGTAATAAATCAGAAGTAACCATAAGGATTTAAAATACAGCTAAATATATGCAAGTATGAGACCTGTTTAGCTCCAAAAGTGGTTGTGGGTATAAACAGTGTGTCACAAGCCCTTCTATCGTGTCTGAGTTACAATAATGTACATAAATCACAGAAGTGTCATATGTCATAAGCACAAGCTTCACAGGCAACCATTCTTACAAATCTTCGCAGAAAATGTTGGGAACTGTTGTCTTTGTTCAAAGTTAAAAAAAGTCTACTTAGAGTGTTTGTAAATCAGCCCTGAGAGAATGAATTGTCAGAGGAAGAGCACGGAAGCAGAAGTGTGACATTTCCAGCTCTCTGTAGAGGGAGGTCTGTTCTACAACACATTTCAGGTGACAAAACACAAATATGATGCCAAATGGAAAGAAAGAATAGACCCTCTGCTGCTGGGAATAAAAGAAGACTATAGTAATGTGATTATGGTAATGGTCAACAAGTCATAGTCTTGTGCCTTTGTTCACTGTAATTAACTTCTTGGAATGGCACAGTTGCTTTCTCTGTGCTCATCAGATGGCCCTGCTTTTGTGTCCGCAGTCTGTTATTTCTCTTGAAGGGACTGCAAGCCTCCAAGTGCATTACTAAATGAATTCATTGCTGGAACAAAGATTCAGTAGTAGAATAGAGATTGATATCTTTTGTTGTCAGACATTCAATACCATATAGCAATCCAATTACTTAAGCTGTTTCTATCAGTCTTATTACGGCTCACTATTGAGGCATGCTTTAAAGCTGGATAATTCTGTCTTGCAAGAATGTAGTGGAACAGATTAGAGCTTTAATGAGAAGGCTTTCTGTGGGCGAGCGCATTTCCATTGTATGTATTGGGATTGAGGAATCATACCTAGGCAAAGGGCCGGAGTCATTGTTGCAAAGACCGATCAAAGGAAAGCCTGAAATCTGTACAACTGCTTGAAGAACTTTTATGGGTTATAAAAAAAAATAAAATAAAAACTGGCAAGGTTTCTCACTGTTATTGCCTATCTGATGAGAATCTGTGGTACACGGGGAAAAGGAAATTGCTTATTGGAATTCAGATTGCGGGATGGATATCTCATTTTGTGTTTGAACTTTTCCTCCGCTGTGCTATAGGTCAAATTTTGTGCTTAGCTGTAGTATTTTTAGGAATGCTGGCAGCAAAAGTTGAATACTTACTGTGTATACAGCTACCCAGGGTAGATACTCGGAGAGGCATGTTTCTAGCACACAAACACACACCAGACAAGAAGCCTCTGATAATTGCACACAAAGGCGAAAGCTTAGATGAGCAAGTCAGCCTTCACATGGTTGCAGCCTTGGTAACTCTCTCTTTAGGAAAAACAGGTGTAGACTGGGTCCCAAAGACAGCAGAAAGCTGGAATCTGTAAGACCTCAAACCTGTGGCTGAAACAAGGGGGTGGAAAATAGTTATTTTTCTGTGGGGAAAAAAAGTCAACAATGTAAATATAAACAAACGTAATTACTTCACAGTTTTTGTGTATGTATAAAACACTCACACCAGTGTTTATTGTGGCAAATACAAGCAGTAGAGATTTGGGAGATCCCACGCTAAATCTCCATGTCTGGCAAGACAATTTGGCCTTTTCTTGAACGTACAATTTCTGATGGACTTTTGAAATGAAAATAAACCTATCTAAACTTGCCTGAAATTCCACCTTGCTACTCTTAAATATTTGAGAATATATATATATATACATACATACACATATTGGTTTGATAAATGCCCCAAGGCAAATCCTTACTTGGTGTGTGTGGCAAAAGCTCTGTAATTGCTGCAGGACAATGTTGATTTCCAACAATTTAAGGATATGGCATATTTTTCCTAGATGCAAAAAAATGTGTGTGATTTATGCTCTTATTATGATAAGCCTGATTTTCCATTTCTTATGGTTGCTTTACACTATCAACAGCTAAATATTTCCTCATCAAGCACACAGTTACCAGGTATTACAATGCATACATTCTGACTGGCCGTAATATTTTCAAAGTATTGTTTAGAAGAATAGCAATTATGAAGACATTTTCCAAAGGAAATTGTATTAGAATTAGGATAAGGATGTGGGTGTGTGAACATAAGTCTGAGGCATACCTGAAAGTTGATCTATGCATGTAGGTTTGTTTCTGAAAGAATTTGTGTTTCTGTTTATAGGCCACCAATACTGCTTTGCTTCAGCAGTGAGGGTTTGCCATGGTTCTGGGCAGAAGCTAAACTTTATTTGTAGCCTTAATTGCTTGATGTGGATTGCAGTTAATGTTTCATGAAGCAAAGGATAGTAACTGCTCATTTTGCCAACAGCTACTGCTAAGATATTTATTTTAGGTCAGAGTTAAGGTGATTTTGTGCTGAAGTATCATTTTCTTTCTCACTCAGGAGTGAAAGGGGCAATTAAAGATTTCGGGTGGCCCGACCTTTATTCTTTTCATTGCTGACTTGTGACAAGTGATGTCTACAGTAACTACTTTCTTGTCATTTATTTACTCTGTTTATGAATGAAACATTTGGGCTTGGAATTTTCCAAGGGGAGCTTTTTTGGTGCATTTTCATTTATTTTGTCTAAATACATTGAGACCTCCAGGCCAGATACTCAGCTGGTGTAAATCAGCTTAGTTCTACTGACGTCAGTGGAGCGGCGCCAGCAGCAGATCTGACCCACTTCTTTAATCTGATCACTTGTCCATCCCATTTATTTCAGACTACATCAGAGTGAGCAGAACCTTACCTCATTCATCACAAACTTGATATAGGTACAACTGTGCAAGTTTTGGCAGAGGACTGTCTTCCCTGAGAGCAATGTAAAAAGCAATGGTATGAGGATATTCCCCTCATATCTGCATGGCCGAGCTGCCTCTTTGCTCAGTCTAAAACACCATCCAATCTCCTGTGTTTTTTTGGGTAAGCCATGTTTTAAACACCAGCTTAGAGACATGAAGGGTAGCCAGTGATACACCTACATGTGCTGGCAGAGAAGTATGGGAACTACATTTGGGACCTTTGCTGTTATGGCTGTGTTGCTTCTGATGCCCAGCCTTGCTCTTCAAGCATGTTGGTAGCTCTTTTCTGTAATAGTCTTCAGGATGGGGGACACTGGGTCCATCTGAAGAGGACCAAATGTTTTCTTTCTCCTCAGCATAATTTTCTGAACTTTCTCTTAGTCTGAATTAGTGATTGAACTGCCTCTTGGCTCTTCTGCTTATTCTCAAACAATAATCTTATTCTAATGTCCTAGTAGCTTCCAGGGACACTTTCCCAGGAGTGTGCACTACCACATAGTTGGGCTGTCTGAGTTTTGTGTACATTGAGATGTTGCTTGCCCCTGAGAATTTACATCAATGTCTTTATTGGTTTCTGTCCCATAAACTTGCTGCCAATGTCCACTCCGAGGATGACCCAGGAACATGTTTTTACCATAGCAGATGCTTTCTCTTGGTACTGCTACATAATACATTTCGTTAGTTTACCTACCTCAATGTTTAGTTTACACTTCGATATTAATAAAATGAGTTTTTCTTGTTTGTTGTTTGTTTTCAGTAATTTTCACTAATATTGACAAGGTAGCACTAATTTTTTTGCTGTTTCTGGGATCTAACTGTCTTACCCATCTGTGTTCAGCCTGAGCTAAACAATCCATGTTCTCAGCAGTCAGTTGATCCGTCTGCAGCCTTATCTAATGTCCTGCAACTATTTCTGACCTTGTCATGCAGTGGCCATTGACTTTGTACTGTTCTTTCTCCAGTACCTCTGTTCAAGAGTTTGCAGATGCCAAAATGATGTGAGCCATTGCAGTTCCAGTATCTTTTTCCAAATACTAGATGATGTCTTGGCTTCACTTATTCACAAACTATGTCTTGTTTTTGTGGACTCTGATACTGTTGCCACAGGTCTCATTTTCCGTACGCAGTCTTTCGTATCTGCCAGAACTATCCCAGCTCCCTGAGTTTCAGCTTGGGTAGAGTGGCTTCCTTTTCTTCACAAGGTTGTAGTTGGGTTATTCTTTCATCTGTTAACAATCTCTCTCTGTTTCTCTCTAGTGACACTATAATATCTTAATATTATCTTAATATCTTCTTGACCCTCTCATATCACCATGTATTTTCAGCTATCAATTAGTAATAGAATATTTTCATCATTTTATTTTTCTGTACTGTTTTACACTATAGTACTCCTTTACATTTAATAGCGTGCCTCTACTGCCTGAGTTAACTAAGCTATATAAATCACCTGTGGCTTCAGAGTCAGCTGTTACCTGAAAGGAGACCATTTTCTTGTTGGCTAGAAAGAAAACCTACTGCTTAAACTTTCTTTATCTCTACTCTGTCATTTGGAAGGGCTTTGATTTTGGTAGAAGTATTTAAATTCTTCTGTCTCCTGCACAGTATATTGCCTTTATTCACATTATGTCTAGTATTTTATGGTACTTAGAAGCTGGTCCAAATAAATGGGCCTGACAGTAGTCTGCCTTACCAACAGCGTTCTTCACTCTTAATGGCAACATCACTTAATGCTGGAGCCTGGTTTGCCAGTGAGAGTGTGACTGATGTGTATCAGAGCCTCTTCAAGGTACAGTTTCCCTAAGCTTTAAATCTGCCATTTAGGCACTTTTACTCTGGGATATACATGCCCCTGATGGTGTAGAACCACTGTGCTCTTTTTTGCTTTGATTCTTAGAAACCAGGATATGTGACTGCTGCCTAAACCTGAAAAAAAAAATGGAGTAGAATCTAAACCTTTTATTTTGTCCTTCTATATCATTTCTCTTTTCATAACACAAAAGATCCGTTCATCTCCCTTACATCTCTCTCTAACAACCTTTTCATCTTCCCTGCTTTCATTGGTCCAGTTTCCACTGGGTGCAGAGAAGCCAAGCTGGGTGTCAGGCTTCCTCTTAGAGATCATCTTGCTGCATGTGTAGAAAGGGAAATCCATTTTAACAGGAGTTCCCAAATGTATGAGTAAACTTCAGTGAGTGCACAGAAAGCAATAGGAAAAATCACAGTTTTGAAAGTCACTTTCAAGGTGTTCTGCTTCTACAGAAGGCTGTACAATTGTCTGTGGAGACATCCAGCTTTGCTGGATGAGGGCCTTGTTAAATTTGAGTAAACTGAATAAACCAAGCAAGAACAAAAATCAATTAATTTTTACAATATGCTTGAGAGAAAAGCAAGCAGGCAGCTTTTCTCTTAGTTTTAAGAAAAAGAATGAGGCAGAAAAATGAAGCAAATAACTTGTCTCTTGGGAGCAAGTTGCAAAGCAGACCCAAAATTCAGAAGGTTTTTGTTCTGGGCTTTGTCTAATCTGCTGACATTTTACTTTTTTAATGTTTTTCATAGGATGCTGTGCTTATTTTATTCATTTTTGTGAGTACTTTCATAAACAGAAGGCAGTAAAATCACAGTGAAGTTAGTCCAAAGTTGGGACAATGTTGAGTTCAAGAGGTACAGAAGAAATGTAGTGAAGATGCAAATATATCTGCATCTCGTCAAAAGTTACTCTTTCATTTACCAAGGAAACATAACTAAATTAATGGATTTTAGGTCAGGAGGAAACTCGAGACTATCTAATATGGCCATATGTATTTTGCATGCCATAGAATTCCACTCAGTTATCTCTGCAAAACTATTTCCTGCCAGATAGTGGGCCAGATCATACCTCTGCTAACTTTAACTACTTCGGTTTCAAAGCTATAGTACACTCTAAAGATACAGTCTGACTTGGCCATAGGTGGTTTACCACATAAAGACCTAATGATTCTGATGTTCATGAAACCTGAAATAGGTGCTATATGTATGTGCTCCATTTGTAATCCTATAATCCAAGAGATTGCTCGAGACAGGAATGAAAGGAGGCAAAGGAAAATCAATGTTTAACTCGGAAATATTTGTCAGTTAGCAAGCCACAAGGAAGTGAGTACCTTTAACACCTGAAATGGTTGAAGTAGGAATTTGATACTTTTTGAGGGGAGGAGGGTATTTAAAAAAAATCTTCCTAAAAAGACCTTTTGAGCTTTGTTACCAGTGTGTTTCTTCAGTTGAGGGAGATGATCTAAATGTATTTGAACACTTTTATTCTGTAGAAGACTGACAATCCAGGCCCTGAGAACACTCAAATGCATACTAAAATACATCCTACTGTTGGGCAACATGTAATTGTGTCCATAAACACCTTTTCTTAACAAGGATGCTTTCCTGAACTGGATAGAAACCTTTTGTTCTTGAACTATTTTAAGGGATTTCTATTTTCTGGCATCTTGCTGCTTTTTTTTTTTTTTTTTTTTTTTTTTGTTTCTCTCTTCAAAAACACATCCGCTTTAACATCCTGTTGAGTTTAAAAGTATATTTCTTTACGTTCTCACATGCTTTTGGTTTTCAAGAACTGGAATTTCTTAAACAAGGAAATCAGCTGGAAATCTCTTGAAGTTCTGTGTACTATAAATGGAATCTCTCCTTCACTCCCCAGTTCCAAATCTCAGGTCTCTGTCATACTGAAGACTTGTGAATTTCTTAACCTCTCTGAGGGAGGAGTCTCTTAGGTATTTTCTTATTGATCAGTACCTGTAAAGCGTTGATCTCTGTCTAAGAGGCACATCAATCTGTCTTGGCTAGAGTAGCCGAAAGGACTTTATGCATTGGATTTTCTCAGTAGTGCTATAAAATAACACATCTTGGTGAATAAAGCCAGCCTGTTAATGTATGGATTTTCTGCCTGGAGTGATTTTGCTAAAATCAATAACTCATTAGGAAGAAAAAAAGTCCAATTCTCACAATTCACACTCATGTAAATAACAGACTGAATTCAGCAACAGTGCCCACCTGAGTTACAATACTGGGTTTAGAGAATAACATGTTGTATGTTCAGATGCCGTGATAGCAGTTTCATTTTTTTTCGTTTCTTCCTAAAAAACACTATTTTATAATCATTATTCATTCATTAATTCTTGAAAGGAATGCTGTATTGGCAGAATGGTTAAACAGTTACTAAAATAGTCTACTGGTGAATCCTTTAAAAATATAACTGCATCCCCAGCAAGTAACTCACTTTCAGCAAAAAACGCAAGTGTCAACTTTTTTCAAAATCACAGTCTAGAAATCCTTCATATGTACTGTAATTCCTCAAAAGAAGGATCAGATAACTTGGAAAGGGAGGAAGCTTTCCATCCCAAGTGTGCAAAGCATTGCGGTCTTTAATTTATTG